CTTAGTTTTTCGGATCTTTGCTGCAGAGGGATGGCATGATGCGTCTGTCTAGGGTGCCATGTTAGCTCTGCCTCCCTGAAATTAAGTTTTTAAGTAACTTTTTATGGAAACATAGTATACATTCTGATTGCAGATGTAAGTGTATTGGTGGTTGAATTTTCACAAACTGAACACTTCTGCGCAACTGGCACCCAGATGAAGAAGTGACATTATCAGAAGTTCCTTCTTGGCTGCCTTCTATTCTCTCTCTCCACGTTATTCTGACTTCTATTATCCACAATCCTAATTCCTTTTACCATAGATTAATTTTTCTTGTTTTTGTATTTTTTGTAAATGGAATCGTACACTGTGTCTGGTTTCTTATGCTCAATATTGTGTTTATGAAATTCATCCATATTTTTCAAATACTGTCTAATAATCCATTGTGTAAATGTGCCACAATTTATTCATTCAATTTTTGTTGGCATTTGAGTAGCTTCATTGTTTGACTGTTAGGAATAGTCCTGCTATGAACATTCTAGTTCATATCTTTGGTGAACATATTTCCTCATTTCTATTGGAAAATAGAATTACTAGATCATAGGGTGTGTCTATAATCAGTTTTAGTAGATACCACTAAATCCCTCGGAACTGCTCTCCTCTCAGCCTTAAACAGCTCTCAGCATAGTCGGGGCCTCTGCTGCTGCCAAAGGCAGGCCAACTCGGCCCCCATGCTGCCTCCTGCTTTGTTCAGGCATCCATCTGCACAGGTCCAGACTATGGCTGCTTCTCCTTTTTGGGGCGCCCAGCTCCATTAACAATCTTCTGCCTGGAGGTGCACTCCATGGGCTGACTCTGCCCACCTCCGCCATCTTCTCCATGGGTCCACCTGCCCACCACCACTGTCTGCCAATCTTATTCCCACTGCCCACACCACTGCCACCATTTCTCTGCTGCTTAGCTCTGCTGTGCTTGCCTCCATTTCTCTTGGTCTTCAGTGTTAGCAGCTCAATACAGCCCTTTTACTCGGCTCTAGGAGGTTCTCAGCGCAGGAATCCTGTGTCCAAAGAATGCGCTTCTCTCCAGGCTCTTGTTGATCAGGCGGTTCCCCCTAAACTTCTCTGAAATTGGCTGCTTATATAGTAAAACTCCTTGTGAATTTATGTGGAGAGCAGACTGGGAGAATTGCAAACTCAGGGCCAGAAAGGCCACGCAAGAAAACCCATGGCACCTAGTTGGCATCCTTGCCTTTTTCTGATCTTAGGGAGAAAGCATTCAGTATTTCACTGTCAAGTAAATATTTGCTGTAGGTTTTTCCTAGATGCTTTTTATCAAGTTCAGGATGTACCCTTTTATTCCTAAATTGTTGATAAAACCTATTTATGATAAAAATTATTTTTTGAAATATTTTCCTACATCTATTGAAATGACCATACGGTTTTTCCACTTTATGCTCTTAAAGTGGTAAATTACTTTGTCTGGACCTATTGTTTTCTTTGTGGAAAGATTCTGGTAACTAATTCAGTGTTTGCAGTCTATATAGGATTATTTAGATTTTCTGTTTCACTTTGTTGTCTTTGATAGGTTGATGTTAGCAAGATATTTGTCCATTTCATGTAAACTTTCAAGTTAATTTGCATAAAATTGTTGATAGTATTTCCTCATTATCCTTTTAATACCTGTGTTGTTGTTGTTAGTTGCCATCAGGTCATTATGACTCATGGCAAACCTACGTGTGTAGAGCAGAACTACTCCATAGGGTTTTCAAGGCTGTGACCTTTCAGAGGCAGATTGCTAGGCCTTACTTCCGAAGTGCCTCTGGGTGAGTTTAAACTTTCAACCTTTCAGTTGGTAGTCCATCGCTTAATCATTCATGCCACCCAGGGCTTCCTTTTAATACCTGTAGTATGTTGTATTTTGTTAGAAAAGGACATTATGTTTGGTAAAGTAGAGGGTCAGTGAAAATGAGGGAAATCGTCCATGAGATAGGTTGACTCAATAGCTGCAACAGTGTGCTCAAACATACCGATTGTGAGGATGGCGCAAGATTGAGCAGTGTTTCTTTTTGAAACTAATATGAGATACCATTGTTGTGAGTTGCTGTGGATCAAATCTGTAGTGATATTAGTAATGATATTCTCTGTCATTCCCAATATTGGTAATTTGTGTTCTCTCTGTCTCTTCCTCCTTTGGTTTCTCCTTTTTCTTTTTAATAATTCTAGTTAGAAATTTCTCAGTTTTTTTTTTTTTATCTTTCCAAAGAGCCAGTGTCTACCTTTGTTATTTTTCTCTATTATTTATCTGCTTTTCTGTTTCATTGATTTTTGTACTTTATTGTTTGCTTTCTTCTGTTCGCTTTGGATTTTATTTTGCTCTACTTTTTCTATTTTCTAAAGGTCAAATCTTAGATTATTGATTTTATACCTGTCTTCATTTCTAATATAAGGACTTAAGGTACAAATTTCTCTCTTAAGTGCTGTTTTTCTTAATATCCTACAAATTCTGATATGTTGGTTTTTCATTAATTCAGGTTAAAGTATATTCTGATTTCTCTTGGGGTTTCTTTTTTTACCCATGGATTGTTCAGTGTTTTGTTTAATTTCTAAATATTTGAGGTTTTCCTAGATATCACATTGTTATTGATTTTTAATTTAAGTCCATTATTTTCACAGATATTTTCTATATGATTTCAATCCTTTAAAGTAATTGAGATTATTTATATTGTCTATCTTGGTGAATGTTCAATGTACATCTGGAGAAAGAATTTGTATTCTGCAAATTTGGGGTGTAGTTTTTTTAATAAATGTCTGGTGTAGGTGATCGAAAGTCATGGTGTTTAGATCTTCTGTGTCAATTGCTGATATATATTTTTTCTTTTGGTCTAGTTTTTCTCATTTGTTGAGAGAGCAGTGTTAAAATTTCCAGGTTTATAACTCGGTTTATATCTCCTTTTAAGTCTGTCAATTTTTGTTTCATTTAGTTTGAAGCTCTGGTTTTATACCCATACACATTTATGATTGTTATATATGCCCGATAAATTTACCCTTTAAAATTATGAAATGCTGCTATTCATCTCTGGTAGTACACTATCACAGAGTTTACTTTCTGTTATGTTCATATTGACACTTGTGCCATCATATGCTTTTAATTTCAAGGTTTATATTTTTCATCCATTGACTTTCATCGTTTCTGTTTATTTAAAGTTTGTGTTTATTATGTAGTAGGTCCGTGGTTGAGTCTTGCTTTTTTAGCCATTTTGACAATCTGTGTTTTAATTAGAGTGCCTGTTCTATTTATGGAACTCTGGCGGCATAGTGATTAAGCGTTCAGCTGCTAACCAAAAGGTCAGCAGTTTGAATCCACCAGCTGCTCTTTTGAAACCCTGTGGGGCAATTCTGCTCTGTCCTAAGGGTCACTATGAGTCGGAATTGACTCAACGGCAATGGGTTTGGTTTTTGATTTTTATTCTATTTATATTTAATGCAAATATTATATGGTTGGGTTTAGGTCTGTCATTTTACTTTCTATGTCCCATCTGTCTTTTATTCCTCTCTTTCTGCTTGCCTTTTTAGGAGAGTGGTTTGAATATTTATAGTATTCTTTTTTAACTTATCTATTGGAGTTTTTAGCTATACCTTTTTGTATTCTTACTGGATGCCCAGGAAATATAATATACATTAATTTTTCAGTATTTTTAGCCTGAATGATATTGTACCTCTTCACATAAGATGTACATATCTTGCAACCACGTAGGTTCATTTACCCTCTTTATACTTTGTATTGAGGAGCCCGGAGGCACAGTGGTTAAGCACTCGACTACTAACCAGAAGGTCAGCAGTTGGAACCCACCAGCTGCTCCACAGGAGAAAGATGTTGCAGTCTGCTTCCTCAAAGATTACAGTCTTGGAAACATTATGGGGCAGTTCTGCTCTGTCCTATAGGGTCGCTATGAGTTGGAATTGACTCGATGGCAGTGGATTGGGTTTTTTGGTGTACTTTATGTTATAAATGTCATATCTATTGCATCTATATATGTTATTTATATGTACATTATATCATTTTGTTTTAGTATATATTTCGTAGATGTTAGAATGGAAATATTATATATATCCACATATTTTCTATTTTCAGTGCTTTTCTTATTGAAGATTCGTATTTCCATGTTGTATCATTTCCTTTAAGTATGAAAAACTTCCTTTAGCAGTTTTTCTAGTATAGGTCTGCTCTTAACTTGAGGTTATCTGAAAATGTCTGTTTATCCTTAATTTTTCAAGGATATTTTTGTTGAGTATGGAATTTTTTATCTTTCATTTTTAGCAATTTGCCTATGATGTACTCAGGTGTGGTCTTCTTTGTATTTATCTTTAGGGTTTGCTAAAATCCTTGAGTCTTTAAAATTATGTCTACCACCAAATGTGGGACATTTTTGGCCATTGTTTCTTTAATTTTTTTTTTTTTTTTGCCATATCTCTGTATTCCTGGGATTCCAGTTGTACATATGGTAGACTTTTTTGATATTATCTCATAGGTCACCATGGCTGTTTTAAAATTTTTTCAATCTTTTCTTCTCTCTGTTCTTCAGATTCAGTAATTTCTATTGATCTGTCTTCAAATTCATTGACTCTTCTCCAATATGCTGTTAAGTCCATCTAGTGAATTTTCTTTTTTAAATATATTGAAAATTCTTGACTCGTTTTTTTCCCCCTCTTTAACTTCCTATTCTTTAGTTCATTCTGAGTGTTTTATTTTTACTACTTGGAGCAAACATAGTTATTTTAGTATTGTTGCCTGGTAATTTCAACATCTGTATCGTCTACAGTGTTGTTGGTTGCCTTTTTTACAACATAGTTTTGATTATTTCACCATGGACAGCAAGTATCTAGCATCACTTTGAAAACCATAATTACATAATATTATTGTAGAATTTTTGGTGTTCATTCTTTCCATTGTCCTTTTTTTGACTTTCAACAATGACCTTGAAAAAAAAGATATTTTAACATGATTTTTGCTTTATTTTGCAGGGCATTTTCTCTACATTCAGTTTCATCCAAGTCATTCTGGGATTTTTCACTAGACGAAAAAAAATCTGTTACTGGCCATAGTTCAGGAGATCATGTCAAAAAAATTTGTTTTAAAGGAATTGAAAGTTCCCAGGATCCAAAAGTCATAAGGTAATAAAAATAAACTTATATGTTTTCTACCTGAAAATATTCTGTGGAGATTTTATGTTCAGAAATAATCTTAAAAAATTTATGAGACAGATATTTATGCATTCTTTTACATTCAAAATTGTCCTATCTATTCTTTAGCCATTTTATTTTTGAAGTAGTTATTGAGGTATAATTGACCTACAATAAATTGTACATATTTAAAGTATGTAATTTGAAGTTTTGGTATATGTATACACCAATAAAACCATCACATTCAAGATACTGAGCATATACATCATTCTCAAAAGTTTCCTCATGCCCTTTTGTAATCCCTTTCCACCCTGCTCCACACTAATCTGCTTTCTGTCAGTATAATTTGTATATTTTAGCATTTTATATAAATGAAATCATAAAGTATGTACTTTTTTTTTTTTTTTTTTTTTGGTCTGTCTGCTTTTACTCAGCGTACTTATTATGAGATCCATCTATGTCGTTATATGTACTGATAGTTTATTCCCTTTTATTGCTGACCAGTACTACATTGTATAGTGTTTATCTGTGTTTATCCATGCATCTGTTGATAGACCTTTGGGTTGTTTTCCAGTTCTTTCTCTGACCATTTTTGATACTGGTTTTTAAAGTCCAGTTTATTTTAAAAAGATGTTTCATTTATAAATGTCTGCATGAAACAGGAAAATCTACCCATAGTTTAAAGCAATATTTTAATAAAAATAGCATCCCCACCAGGTTATGTAAATTCACTTAATTGTTGTTCAAAGGGAAACGTTCTTAGCCAGTGTTAGAAGAAAAAAAATATTTCAAGTTGGTTTACTGAATGGAGAATTTTTTCCTTATTTATGCTTATATGACACCTCTCAAAGATATTAATCCTTAGAGTGTTTTAGACAAAACAAAAATATAATTTAAAGTATCAGTTGTGACCAGGTTAAAGTTTGTTTTATATGATGATACTTATTGCTGTTGAGTTGATTTCAAATCATAGTGACCCTCTAGGACAGAGTAGAATTGCCCCATAGGGTTTCCTAGGCTGTAATCCTTACGGAAGGAAACTGCCACATCTTTCTCCAGTGGAGCAGCTGGTAGGTTCGAACTGCCGACCTTTTGGTTTGCAGCCAAGTGCTCTAACCACTGTGTCACCAGAGCTCCTTTATATGATAGACCTTTTATTTTGCTGTTTGTCAAACTTTTTTTCTTTTCCCCCTAAACCCTTTTTTTAAATGAAATCTTTTGTTGGATTCCAGTGTCTCAAACACATGTTACAAACTTCTCAGATTAAAGAAGGGAGAACAGGCTGGGACCCGTACTGGTTTAACCCGACCTTACCTGCCCTACAGCCAGCTCCCAAGGAACTGCCAAAGTCTTCTAACAACATTGTTTGGAAACTTTAGAAAAGTTTAGACACACTTTTTAAAAATGTTTAGACATAGTGTTATTGTTGATATTGAGATTGGCTTCTGTATTACAGGTCTTTATATTTGAGAGAGCAAAGTTCTTGGGCCATTTTCTTACAATACAGAAAATCAGAGATCAGAAAGAATCTGAAGAGGTCATCTAGTCTGTCCATAACTTTTCAAACACTTGTAGCAATGGCATGCTGTTTTAAAATAAAAATCCTAAGTAGAACCCTAACATATGAAATGGATAAACCTTTTTATGTATACATTTTATAAGTTAAATTTTTAATGTTTACTTATGATAAAGTGAAAATATTAAGGCTGTTCAGTGGGCTCAAATATGAAATTGGGTGTGATGAATGACATTTATAATCTTAAAATTGGCCAACAAATATTTATTGATTATCTGCTCTGGGTCAGACATTCTGCTAGTTACTGAAGTTATAGTGGTGAACAAAATTAACATAGCCTCTGCCCTTATGGAGCTTACAGAGAAGAAAAACCGTAAACAAATAATTAAATAACTAACTGCAAAACATGAAGAGGAAGTATATTAGCCTTAACATTCAATTTTTTTGTATATTTTGTTTTAATTGATATTAGAAAAAAATTCTGATTGAAATAAATAAGTAGTTACAAATGATTTTTAAAATCAACTCCTCTTGGCATTCTCTAAGAGAACTCTTCATTTACATAGAGTTGATAGAATCTTTATTCTTGAATTTATATAAAAATGAATTAACCAGGCAACACAATGTGTGTGATCTTCAATGCATTAAAAGTATTTGAATGTGTATTTTTTGTTTCAAAGACTGTATTTCACACACAAAAAATGAAATACCAAACAAATGTCTGTTTAACATTTTATGATATACTGAAAACTACTGGATCTAAACAATTTGAAAGTGTTCAGTATCTTGGAAGCTGTTTTCTTAAAGATTTTGAGGGAAGGGTATTTTATTCCCTTCTTAAGTGGCAGATAATCTCTTGGTGTTGTTAAACTCTCACAGTAAAAATGATGCTTATGAATCAAAACAAATGTTTGTAAGTAGTTATGTAAAGATCTCTCATTAGTAGCGTTTTCTATCCCAGACAAAATTTCCCTTTATTTTCTTACATTTAAAAACAAAATGAGGTATTTGTTATCTTCTGGAGTGACCACAGTTCTTATTTTTCCATATCTTTTAACAAACTGAATATAGCAGTCTTTTTTTGATATAAGAAAAATGTAAGAATAGCATTTGTTTTATAAATTGTATGATGTGATGTCTGGAGACCACACTTTTTAATAGACATGTAATTTCTTCATTTTCAAACTGCAAGAAACACAAATATACCTCTATTTGTATTCATCTTATCCTCCTGTTTTGTTTTGCAATATAAGAGTTATCCCTCCTATCTAAGGCCAGTATCTGTACCCATGCTTTTATCTCATCCCTTCCCACTTCAGGATCCTTTTGTTCCTCATGTATATTCAGCCTTTCCTTTTAACTTGATTCTTTCCACCTTTTTTTGTTTAATACATTTTATTTTTTAGAGCAGTTTTAGGTTTATAGAAAAATTGTACAGAAAGTACAGAGAGTTCCCATATTCCTCCTTTTCCCACTGTATATAGTTTTTCCAGTTACAGGAATACTTCCTTTTATTGAGCTTTGCTTTAGTGCACTTTGCAGACATTCCGATTTTTATAAGCTGAATTTTTGTGGCAACTGTACATCAAACAAATCTATCGGCGCCATTTTTCCAACAGCAGGTGCTCACTTCATGTCTCTGTGTCACGTTTTGGTAATTCTCGCAATATTTCAAGCTTTTTCATTATTATTATATCTGTTACGGTGATCTGTGATCAGTCAGTGATCTTTGATGTTATTATTGTAATCGTTTTGGGGCACCACGAACTGCACCCATATAAGATGGCAAACTTAATTAACGTTGCTTGTGTTCTGACTGCTCCACCAGCTGGCCATTCCTCTGTCTCTGTCCCTCTCCTTAGGCCTCCTTATTCCCTGAGACACGACAATATTGAAATTAGGTCAATTAATAACCCTACAATGGCCTGTAAGGGTGGGTTCAAGTAAAAGGAAGAGTTGCATGTCTCTCACTTTCAATCAAAAGCTAGAAATGATTAAGTTTAGTGAGTGTCTTAGGCTAGGTTCTCTAGAGAAGCAAAACCAGTGAAGCACACACACACACACACACACACACACACACACACACACACACAGACACACACACAGACACACACACACACACAGACACACACACAGACACACAGATTTACATCAAGGAAATGGCGCACGCTGTTGTAAAGGCTGGAAAGCCCCAAGTCAGTGGGTCAGTCTGGAGGCTTCTCTTGACTCACGTATCTGCAGGGGCTGGTGAACCCAAGATTGGCAGATTAGACAGCAGGCCTCTGTCTCACAGGCTGCGGAGGCTGATGAATCCCGATTGGCAGGTAAGATGGCAGGCCTGTGGCTCATAGGCAGCGGAGGCTGACGAATCCCAAGATCAGTGCATAAGCTGCTAGCTCAAGTCCCAAGAACCTGAGGTCAGATGAGGATCCAGAGTGAGCAAAAGCCGCTAGCTCAAGTCCCAAGAACCTGAGGTCAGATGAGGATCCAGAGTGAGCAAAAGCCATTGAGCTTTGCCAGAAAATCCACACATATTGGATGCAGGCCACAATGCCAAGGAAAATCCCTTTCAACTCATTGGCTCCTCATAGCAGAACTCATCATGGGGGTGATTATGTTATATCATTTCTCATTATGGAGGTGATTACATCATTACATAGTTGCCAAACTACATCATAACTGCCAAACCACTGAGAACCATGGCCCAGCCAAGCTGACACACAACCTTAATCATCACAGTGAGTAAGGCATGTCGAAAGCTGAGATAGGCTGAAAGCTAGGCCTCTTGTGCCAAATGGTTAGCCCAGTTGTGAATGCAAAGGAAAAGTTCTGGAAGGAAATTAAAAGTGCTACTCCAGTGAACATACAGATGATAAGAGAGTGAAACAGCCTTATTACTGATATGGAGAAAATTTTAGTGGCCTAGATAGAAGATCAAACCAGCCACAACATTTCCTTAAGCCAGAGCCTAATCCAGAGCAAGGCCCTAACTTGAGGAAGCTGCAAAAGAAGAGTTTGAAGCTAGCAGAGGTTGGTTCATGAGGTTTAAGGAAAGAAGCCATCTCCATAACATAATAGTGCAAGGTGAAGCAGCAAGTGCTGATATAGAAGCTGCATCAGGTTATCTAGAAGATCTAAGATAATTGATGAAGGTGGCTACACTAAACAACAGATTTTCAATGTAGATGAAACAGCCTTATATTGGAAGAAGATGCTATCTAGGACTTTCATAGCTAGAGAGGAAAATTAAATGCCTGGCTTCAAAACTTCAAAAGACAGGCTGATTCTCGTTAGGGCTAATGCAGCTGGTGACTTTAAGTTGAAGCCAGTGCTCATTTACCACTCAGAAAATCCTAGGGCCCTTTAGAATTATGCTAAATCTACTCTGCCTGTGCTCTATAAATGGAAAAACAAAGCCTGGGTGACAGCACATCTGTTTACAACATGGTTAGTGAATATTTTAATTCTGCTGTTG